GAGGAGGAAATGTGTCAAAATTCCTCTCCATTAAGAGGAGGATGTGGCCACCATCTATGGGAAATCATCTCTAATGTGAGCATCACACATGACTACACACACATAGGTGGGATGCCTCATACACTTGCTCACCAAATAAGGTTGAAAACTTTGACCCCTTGGTTAAACTAGCTCTTTGACATCCACTTGGATCAACTTTGGACCTTGTCCCTTTGTTGACTTAAGTGGCCAAAAACTTTATTTTACTTGGTCCAAATACAAGATCAAAAAATAAGTCCTACAATTACTAGATTCATAATACAAAGTCCAAAATTATTCCACCCATGATGGTCTAAAAGAGAAAGAGAGCTTTACTTCACCTTCTATTGATAACTCTTCTTATATTTGCTTAATCATACTTCTTACAATTGGACTTTTAATTAGGATTTGTCACCAAATCGACCTTACATGAGGTAAGCTCACTTGGTCTTGTCATACATAGAGACCCACCCTAATGTTTCATTAAATAAACTTATTCAAACTTATAAGAAAGGTTTTTCAATCTATATTTAATTCATATACAATTGAATGGACCAAATCTAGAGTTTATGAATATAAATTTGAATTTGAGCTTAAAAACATCAAAATAAATTTAAACTACTTTAGATTTGAATAATTATGGATTGAATGTGAAGATTTTAAACTCTTAGTTTTCAAGCTAGAAATTCTCAACTTACTTTGCATCTTTGGAAGGAGAATGAGCACATAACTTATTATACACTTAACAATACTGTGAAGAATTATGTTCTATTATGCAACCTTTTTGTTGCGTGAGGTAATATTTGTCACTTTGTAATTTCACTATATTTTTTTAACTTGTAAAATCCATGATAAACATCAATATACTCCTTAACATTAACAATATCTTAAATTACATCTATAATATATCATCATATAAAATATTATTAAAATAAACAAGAATCAAACAAAACTCAGAACCAAAACCATAACCAATTATATGATAAAAGTCTTGGTATAATTGTATACCACCGAAACATTCCCTATAAAAGGCCTAAACTCACCATACAACAATTTCCTCCTCGAAAAATGTTACACTTTAAAATCAATATCATTACAAAACTTTACACATTTTATGCAATAACCTCTAACAGACCATGGAAGTATCTTTTCATCAGATAAAGCTTGACAAGCCAAAGTTAAATCACATTGTAGCTAGAAACTTCTAAATCCAACACTTAACTCGAAAAAAAAAAAAAGCATTTTGAATTCCCACAAATGTAGAGAAACTCCTAATAAAATCCTAATATATTTCTTCTACTTCTCTTTAAAATACCTTCACAAACTAATAAATCTGCACTTCGTTCCATCCGTGTTAAATTTAACTCAAAATACGTGAGGAAACTACCATATAACCCCTACCACTGTAATTTCGTTTGGTAATCCTCAAGAAGGTAGCATTTTTTAAGAAGAAAAATTAGAAAACTTTTATACCCATCAGTTTTCTTTTCTTGGCTCATTTTCTTCTCATTCTAGTAAGATAAGTACATAGACATGTTACATATATGATGTATGTTTTTTTGCTTTAATTAATACGAGTAGGCATGTGTTTGGTGTGGTTTTGGATACATATTTGTTGAAGCTGTGAATGTACAATATAGGCTAAGCTGAGTAAGGAATATCCAAGCCACCACTCAAGTACATCGTTAATGAATTCAATGGCGGCAGTACAAGCCACACTCTTTGCCCTTTGTGTTGAAAAAGATTGGAATCAATGGAAGTTGCCTTCAGCTATTAGGATTTTGGCGACACTCTATTCGGTACGCTAATAACAATTATTCAATTTCTATATCATTTTTATTTTATTTTCTTCATATTTTCAATTTTCATCACATTTTACCTACTGCGCTATCTTTCCGACCTTTTTTTCTCATACTTTAACTCCAAAATGAAATGGAAGTTTGCCATTTACTTATAATTCATATTTTGAAACTAAAATTCTGTGGCAGGGAATTGCAGTCACTACATTCGTTAATATTGTCACTTCGTGGTGTGTACGGAAGAAAGGTCCATTATATGCATCTGTATTCAATCCCCTTACCCTTGTGCTCGTGGCTATCACCGCTCCACTCTTATTACAAGAGAAACTATACCTTGGAAGGTATAAACTATTTCTTTTGCACCATTTTTTCACTTAATAAACATTTAGACCTTGTTTGGTAAAATTGTTGGTAACTTGTGGTAAACCTTAAATACAGAAGATAAAACAATATATATTTATGAATTGGGAGTTACTTAAAAGGTGACATTATAATTATGTACTATGTACTCTTTTACTCTTCTTCTATATTGTGTCTTGTTGCTAAGAAGAAGAAAAAACCTTGAATAAAAAATTGTCATGCTAATTTCTCTCGTGTGACTGATATTTATTTATTTTTTAATATGTTCAGTGTACTTGGCGCAGCGCTAATTGTGTGTGGCTTGTACATGGTGCTGTGGAGTAAAAGCAAAGAAATGAAACAACAAACTGATTTGGTGTCATCAGAGACAGAATTAATTAGTACGACTGAGGTTGTTGTAGTGTCCACCACCAATAAGAATGAGTTAGCAAAAACAGGTGAATAGTAAGAGCAAACTGTAAACAAAGGCTCTTAAATGAATATTTGGGAATCTGTGTGCGCGTGTGTTCTTATAAAGTATTTTAAGAGTTTCCACTGCATATTATGTTGTACTATATATTGAACCAGATGGCCTTGTTAACTTCAGTCATAGTTCTTCCCTTTTCCATCTTCTTCCCTCATATTCCAACTTATGATTTGGCAGTCATGTGCACAACAACAAAGAAAGCAACTAAGAATACCATTGGACAGATTCAAATTAAATTCAATTACAGCACTGCGCAAATGGGAACCATGTTTAAGAAAAAAATTTATCATAACAAATCATATCACACACTACTTAGTTGTCCCTATCCCCACGCACACGCGCAGACACGCACAAGCACACAGGTACAGGCACGCACACACGCACACATGTGCGCAAACGTGCTCGCACGCACACGAGAGAGAGGGAGAGAGATAGAGAGAGACATCTATGTGATCACTTTGTTACAACAATGACTATGCATTCATTATACAAAATTTTTTATCTGCTACATATATTAAAATATTAGATATTTTATATAAATATTTTATTTTATTTTTTTATTTTTAGTTAATTTGTTATTATTTTTTGTTTTTATTTTGAATTTAGTCTATATTTCTTTTATTATAAATATAACATTTTATCTATATATTCAACATAAGATAAATTAATTTCATATGTACTTTTTCTTTTATTAACATTATATTAGAGTCATGAGTCATTGTTATATTATATTCTAGAGAGATTTGTTATTTGTTGCACATATTATTTTACATGTTATCGTTGTTAGACCATATATTAATGTCTAGTCTCATGTTCGAAATATTTATACTACACTAATGCATTGAAAGTCTCGTGTCAAAATGTATATAATTGCAAACGTCACCTTACAATATGTTGAACAATACGATTTGAGTAAACAATTGGTGGAAACCAAGAATAATAATAATGTAGAGATTGAAGAAATCACGAATTTCACATAAAATGAACTGAATTCATGATCTAAGCCAAACTTTGTAGTTCTTAAATTATAAAAACAGCAAACTATTTCTAAAAAAAAAACTCAAGACCTGAAGTTCAAATACTCCTATGCTACTATGTAGTCCAGGATTCATGTATCTTCAAGAGAAAATGTACTACAATGGAAGAAATTCAAGAAAATGTTGTTAAAGGTATGTCTTTAGCTTTCCATGTTCGGCAACTTTGAGTCTTTCCTTCTTTGCCCAAGCACTAGTACCCTAAGAGGATACTGCAACCGGTTCTACAACCGAGGCATATACCGACGAGTAAAGGGTGGGGGTTGGGGGTGTTTTTGGCAGGTCGTTTATGCCTCGGTCGTGAACTGAGTTAAAAAGAATAGGATTTATGCTTCGGTTTTTTTTACGTAACCGAGGCAGTAACTTGTTTGTTTTTTTTTTTTAAGCTTTATAAGTGTTGTTGATGTTGTTCTTATGCCATCACCCATCTTCCACTGCATCACACCCATCTCCACTGCCACCAGGGCAGGATTTCCCACTTTCAGAGCTACCAACACAACAACGCAATTCCCACATTTCAGTGAAACAAGAATGATTCCTCCACCAGAATGAAACTCCAATCAAATCCAATCAAAGTGAACAAGAATGAAACTCCAATCAAAAATCCAATCAAAAACTCAAGCAGAAACTCCAAAAATTGAAATCGGAACCTTAGACGAATCGGAACGACCACTGCGCCCCGCCGCAAGAAAAGGAACGACCACTGCGCCCTTGCGTCTTTGCCGCAGTCCGTCCACAGATCGCTGCACCGGAGCAACGAAACCAGACCGGGAACCGCACCAAACTCGCCAATCAGGGCACCGCTGCTCCTGCATCCGCTCTGTTCTTCGCCAACAGCCTCAGCTTCGCCGTCGCCTTCACCGCCACCAACGAAGAATGCAGTCCGTCGATGCAGATCTGCCCTCCATGCGCCCAGATCTGCCCTTCGTCACCGCTGCGTCGTCGTCGCCGCGTCTCGTCGCCGCTGCGTTCTCGGTGCCGCGTCCTCGCTGCCGCCGTTGCGTCCACCGTCGTCGCACATTGCACATCGCGGAGGAAGGGAGCGAGGCGGAGAAGACGCAGAGAAGAGGCAGAGAAGAGGCAGAGAAGAAGAAGAGGAGAGGTGTTAATTCGGGGGAAATGAGCAGGGAAGCGTGATTTAAAGCCCAATATGCCTCGGGTGTATGCCAACCAAGGCCGATTTAGAGTCCAATATGCCTCGGGTTCATGCCACCGAGGACCTC